ATTATACTATAATAATAAAGTAAAATAAATAATAATATATATATATATATATATATATATATATATATATATATTCAAATCCAGTCATTATCCATTAATCAACATGCATTCATCTCAGCACATCTCCAACTCTGGTCTTTAATAAACCCCCCATTTGGATATACAACATCCGCTCCAACCGACACACCCCGTTATCCACACTATTAGTAGTGCCTGCGCCTGGTGTTGGACACCAACTATACAAGTATCGCACTTGCACAATGCCCTCGACAAAAGTATCGACATCTGCTTCGATGTTAAGGCCTAGAATGACGCTTCGTTCCAATCCGTCTACTTCCACAAGGAATGACGCGGGGCCTTGGGACTTCGCCGCACTCAATGACTGCATGCAGTAGAGCAGGGGATGCGTTGCTGATGGAGTGTAGGTTGAGCGGTCGGTGAAGATAAACTGAATACATCAGAACGAGTGGGTACACGCATGTACGCGTTGTAGTAATATGGGCTTTAATATGGTTGCATTGGAATATGCAGGAAGATATTTTTGATAGCAGCCAACGTTTTTTTGCAGTGTCTGTGTATACTGGAAGCCTGGTTAGAGCGTGGTAAGAAATGAGACATACATGTGTCAAACTAGACAAGGGAAAACTATAAAAAATGGTATCATGCACGGATATGGATACGCTCAATAACAATAACAACTCCATGGCATTTAGTACTTTGATGGTTGTGTGATACCGTCGTTTTCAGATGCTTCTACGGCCTTAAACAACAGCAGCAGCATATATTGTCCCTGTGGAGAACCGGCTCGAAGGAAAGTCTAGGAAATAGGGTTTGCTCACGATTGGGCTGTACAATCATGTGCACACTGTACGTAATTCTAATGGCAATCTACAACATACAAAAGGCAATTTCTTGGAACCCATGGCACAAAACAACATCGGCCAGACTACGGCTAATAGTCTACTAACCAATATATTGCACGTGTTACAAATCACGTGACATGCAACACCTTAAGGCACACAGGGTATAG